GGGGGGGGGTGAGACATCTATTGTCCGCCACATACAATGCTGTTTTAATACCTCCCTCTAGGCAGGTTAAAACACCTCCTAGACTCCAATTATGCAAATGCGATCAACACCTGGTTGCGACTAACAGATTATGTGGATTGGAGCAAAATTCACCATATTTATTCCCAGAGAATCTGAATTGAGAAAGCTGGTTGGATGACCAGTGAAACGTCTTCAAGAAAAATACCGCAAGTCCAGTTGCCTTGACTCATTCTTTGCAGATATCATCTATTACCAGTATTTTTAATCCCACTCAGATTCCTGTATTTTGTTCTTAGCTACCGATATCAGAAATGTTAACAGTTTCCCCTGCTATTGATTAATTGGAATTAAATGTTTAATATTTTTAACAAAATGTTTATTTAATTTTAGTATTTTTATTGATTTAGTGTGATTTACATGTACATGTATGAAATGATCACATCATTCTAATTTGTAACTTTTGTTGAGCATTTAGTTTGAGTTGTTTGTATTTACTTAATCAAAGGATTCTGATTAAATTTGTGACTGTTTCAGGGACCTTTTCATGTTTGTTTTAGTTATTTTTTAAAGGGTAACTTCACTTTAAAAAATAGAACAATTTTTCAAAATTAAAAAATCTTTTAAAACAAATGAATACAGCATATATAATTGTTGCACAAGCCATTTTGTAATTTAATGTTATTAAAAAATGACCTTTCCATTTAAAACTGCAGCTGCCGTAATGTTCTAAATCTGTCAAAAACATTCAATGCAATATGGTGACCTGGAGGCGTATTGTACAGAACACCCCTAGAAATATATCAGTTCCTGCTTCTTTGATTGGTTGACTGATTTTCCCAGAAGTCTGCACTAAGATACAAGTATAATTTTTTTTAAGTTCTCTGGTTTGAGAAGTTCATTATTGCAAAATAAACAAGGACTCGCCAAAGCCAAGAAGACAAATTATAAATTCCAAGTCATCATAACTAGAGTTCAGATAATATGTGCAAATTATTTTTCCGTAAATCTTGATATTCGATGCAGTAATCTAGATACGTAACTGATTTACACGTATATTTTGTTTTACAAAAGGGCACCATCACCCCAGATGGGACTCGAACCCACAATCCCTGGCTTAGGAGGCCAGTGCCTTATCCATTAGGCCACTGGGGCTATACATACACTTTCATAGGCAGGTTCAATTTTTTTAATAATAAATAACACTACAGCATATTTTTATGTAAGTAATGTTTGTACTAAATTACATTTTCATGCACTTTGGTTTATAATGGCTCATGGACCTTACAACGCTGGAGTAGATGGGGAGAGAGGTTCTAATAAAAAACTTTGCCAAAACCCAAGATGGAACCAGGGACCTTTAGATCTTCAGTCTAATGCTCTTCCAACTGAGCTATTTCAGCTCGCAGAATGCATGCAATACCAGAAGAGTGCTAAGGGTCTCATTTGGCTAGTATGTGTAGGAGAGGATTGTGGAGGGAATGCTGGGATGTAGGGGAGGAATATTTAGGGCAGGGGTAGGCAAATGTCGGCCCTCCAGCTGTGGTGAAACAACAAATCCCACCATGCAGCTGCCTCTGGGAGTCATGTCTGCAGCTGTCAAGGCCTAATTTTTGCCTAATCTCTGCGCTAATAAAGGTGGGACATTTGGGAGGAAGGTCAAAGATTGTCTTGGTCGTACAAACTTCTTTAAATGAAGTAAATAGTTCTAACAAAGTTTGACATTGCAAAACAAACAAGGGCTTACCCCACTTGAGAAGTTAAAAATGCTAAATTGTCAGTCGAAATAATTGGAAAGTATAAAATGCATGTGAATTAATGTTTTGCCATTTGTGGTCAATGTTTTCAGACATAAACTAACTTTATGTTGTTTTTTGATTTAGAAAACTTCATACCACCCCGGATGGGACTCTATTCAGGTCAAATTCAGGTACATATACAGCTTGCATTTAAAACATACATTTAATATTGCATGCATGATCACAGAGCTGCATTACATTGCCCTTATACTTGCCTTGAGGTCAGCCTTAATAATGTAGGTTAGCATTTTGCTGATGATGCTTAAAGTTTTTTTTTTTATAGTTTAACAAATGATCTATGACATATATTAAACCTTCTCTCTATATATACATAACGATACATACAGGTATGCGGTACTCATGCCTTTTAATGGGTTACAAAAACTACAGGTTTAAGTGTTCAGCAGGGGAAGGTCTAAGTACCACACCCCATATGCAATGACCACCAAAAGAATAACAAGTATTTGAGCCATAGGCTAGATGGGGTTTTTAAGGTACACTGCAAGGCCTTCGCATATTAACTTTAAACATACGATACTTTATTGCCAACGATAAAAGTCTTCTTAGAAAGTTCAGACTAAAAACATGTCCCATTAGTATGAATTTTACAAATGATTGTAATAGTGTACAGAATATAGATTCTTTGAGATATCGATGTGAACACACAGGGACTGTAGGTCAACCTTTCGCTAATGCAGATATCATTAAATCGTGGAACACAACCATCCTTAATACGTAAGATTGCCATTATTATCAGCTTACTGTAAACTGGCATGGAGTTGAGTGATGGAGAATCATACAACTGGACATCAGCAACCCCAGGGGGGGACGGGGCGCAGGAGGGGTAACAGCCACGCAGGAATTCACCGTTGGCAACAATGCATCAAATATTTTAAGTTAATATCTGAAGGCCTTGCCGTGTACTTTAAAAACCCTGTCTAGCCTATGGTTAGAATTATTGTTAGTCTTTTGGGGTTGACAAAAACTAACATTTTTAGATATGTTTTTGCTTGATGAATAACTTTTTCATGGCCCCTTTCACCTCCTTATTTCTCAGGGAGTAGATGAAGGGGTTGATCATAGGGGCCACGACAGTGTAGATCACAGACAGAACTTTATCATAATTTACAGAATTGAAGGAAGACGGACGCAAGTACATAAAGGCGATGGTCCCATAAAACAAGATGACCAGCGTTAGATGAGAAGAACAGGTGGAAAAGGCTTTGTGCCGGCCGTCTGCGGAGCGGATTTTAAGAATGGAGGAGATTATGCAGCAATAGGAGTACAAGATGATGATAAACGGAATTAAAACAGGCAGGCCACCTTCCGTGTAGATCAAAAGCTTGTTGAGGGAAATGTCGGAGCAGGCCAACTGCAACAAGGGGCCTATGTCGCAAAAGAAGTGATGGATCTTATTGACACCACAAAAACTCAAGCTGGACACCATCAAGCTGTGTAGGAGTGAATGCAAAGCCGAAGCCAACCATGAACTAATGACAAGAAGAATGCATACCTTTCGGTTGATGATGGTGGTGTAATGCAGTGGGGAGCACACAGCCACAAATCGGTCGTACGCCATTACCGCCAGAAAGATGCACTCAGTGCATGCGAAGCACATGAAGAAGTACAGCTGTGAAATACAGTCCAGCAGTGTGATAGTCTTATTCTTTGATTGAATGCGAACCAGCATCTTTGGGACAATGGTTGAGGTGTAACACATGTCAACGAAAGACAAGTTGCCCAAGAAGAAGTACATGGGAGTCTGGAGGTGAATGTCAGTCTGGATCAAGAGAATGATAGTCAAATTACCCAGAACACTAAGGAGATACATAATTAGAAACACTACAAAAAGTAATGTTTGTTGCTCTGGAAGATCCGATAATCCAACGAGGATAAATTCTGGATTTTTGCTGAAATTCATGCCTTCTGCAGCAAAGGGAAAAGCAAAAACTAGAAAACCTACTGTCACATCAAAATGAATGTCGTTACATGCTGCGCAACATTGTATCTTGGTTTCTATAGAGTAAAGGGAACCTGTGGTCAGGCTATTCAAATATTAAGATATTAAAGAGTGAATGAACAAGCCCTCACTGACCTCTGTAACTGCAGGCACTGAGGTGCAATTTATCCTCAAAGTTCACAGTAGAAGCTGTTCAAGTCTTTCTCACAGCAGCTCAGCTCATCCTGCTCCTCTATCCCAGCAATGACTCAGCAGCTCAGCTTCCCCTCCCAGCAGTAACTTGGCAACTCAGCTCATCCTGCTCCCCTTCTGAACAGCGACTTCACAACTTATCTCATCCTGCTCCCCTATCCCAGCAGTAACTCAGCGACCTAGCTCATCCTTTTACTCTAACCCAGCAGTGACTCAGAAGCTGAGCTTTCCTTTTTCCCCCTTCCCAGCAGTGACTCAGAAACTTTAGGCCTTTTAATAACTTCAGTGTCTTAGTGTCATTTGTACTGAGATTGTAGTCCATCACGGGAGCGAGCTTGGAGCGGGGACTACTTTACAACACACACAGGGACCATGGGGAACAAATGTAGCCCCCCTCCAGAAGGAAGGACATTGCCAGCACCAATTCAGAGATGATTGGAGGATCTACAGCCCAGTGATATGATACACAAATAAGATAGGGCACTCAAATGTTTTTTTAAGATTTAACACCAGAGTTTAGTGTCACTTTAAAGTTTAGAAGCAAGATTGGCTTGACTTTTATTTCGGGGTTAGGGGTCATCTTAAATTTTTTTGGGCGAGATTGAGGTTTAATTTTTATGGTTAGATTAAGTGTTAGGGTTTAGGTCAGCAAAGGTTCAATTGTTAGGGTCTTGCCTTGAGTTAGGGATAGCTTTTATGTTAGGGGCATAGCTACAAATATTTATATTTACTTTTATTCTTGGCACTGAAATTCCTGCACTGATAACCTACGTATCGCCACAATGTGATTAGTTATATACTCTCTCATTGCTTTCATAACATAAACATAAACATACCATAGATTAGCAGTTTGCCATGAAAACATGAATCCAGAAATAAGTAATGGCAATATCTATTGATTTCAAACATTGTAATGTCACAAGCAATTGTTTTTTTTTAAACTCGCACACACAACATATGATTATAGAAATCTAGCATCAGCCTAAGCCAAATTCTTTTGTGTTTGTGTTTTTTTATAGTCAAACCTGATCAGTAAACATAATGATGGCATCAAGAAAACATTTGAACATGGCGAAAAAAAATAATCAAAATAATAATCAAAAAAATAATCCCTCTTAAATATGTATATCATTTGCTCTTCCTACGTAGATGGTAATTTAACATTTGTAATGTTTATCAGATAAAAATGTCATTTTGTCAACAAGTCCTTTAAATAAGTCTTACTCAAGTGTTTTGTTTTGTATGATACACATACACCTTATTATTCTCATCTTCATATATTTATACACTAACCTTCGCCTGGGTGGTAGTGAGCTCCCTAAGGTAAATTATGTAAGCTCTATGCAAAAACCTCCAAACAATAATAATTGTAATTGTATTTATTTAGGTGATTGGTCCCACAGCTCAAACACGTTCTGCTGTACTAAGTCTCATATGTAAAACAAACTTGTCAAACTGAACAAATACATTTTAGAAAAATCTCCAGTTCCAGCAAAGTAATCAGTACATGTTTGCATGTCCATGCCATAAATTACACTAGATCACCAAAGGTTTGTGGATGCCTGACCACCACACCTATATGAGTGTGTCGGGTATCCCACTGCAAAATCAGGTGCATAGATTTTGCATTATTTTGTTTTTCGGGTCCGAAAGTCAATTCGTTTCGTGATTCGGATTTGGAGGAAATTCGTTAGCGGTAGTCTGTACGGATCTTCGTTTGTGGACGAATTTTCGTTGCAGCAAAGTGACATTTAAAAAAAATAATTATTGTCACTTTGCTGCAGCGAAAATCCATCGACAAACGAAAATTCGTACAGACTACCGGTGACGAATTGCATCCGAAATTTCATTTTCGGAAATTTGCATTCGTTTTCATTCGTCATTTCTGTTATTGGTAAATGCGGTAACATCCGAATCTCCAAATTAAAATAAGTCCGAAAAAGGAATTTTTCCGAAACTAATCGCACATGTCTATTAGACAACTGTGTTCTTCCAACCTTGTGGTAACAGTTGGGGGAAGACCCTTTTCTGTTCCAGCATGACTGCACCCCTGTGTACAAAGACATTTTAGGCAACTGTGTTCTTCCAACCTGTGGTAACAGTTGGGGGAAGACCATTTTCTGTTCCAGCATGACTGCACCCCTGTGTACAAAGACATTTTAGGCAACTGTGTTCTTCCAACCTGTGGTAACAGTTGGGGGAAGACCATTTTCTGTTCCAGCATGACTGCACCCCTGTGTACAAAGACATTTTAGGCAACTGTGTTCTTCCAACCTGTGGTAACAGTTGGGGGAAGACCCTTTTCTGTTCCAGCATGACTGTGCACCTGTGAAAAAATCTAGCTCCATAAAGAAATGATGATTATTACATAGTATTTATATAGCGCCAACAGTTTGCGCAGCGCTTTACAATATAAGGAAGACATTACAGTTACAATACAATTCAAGACAAGATGGTAAGGAGGGCCCTGCCCCTGAGGGCTTACAATCTAAAAGAGGAGGGGGAAATGATACATGAGGAGGTAGCTGTGGGAATGAATTATGTGAGAATGTGAAGGTTCAGTGGTTAGGTTGAGGTGGGATAGGCTTCCCTGAAGAGATGAGTCTTTAGGGAACGCCTAAAGGCAGCCAAGGTGGGAGATAGACGGACAGGTTGGGGTAAAGAGTTCCAGAGGATGGGAGAGACTCTAGAGAAGTCCTGGAGGCGAGTATGGGAGGAGTGAACAAGGGAGCTGGAAAGCAGGAGGTCAATGGATAAGCGGAGGGGACGGTTAGGGTGATACTTTGAGACAAGGTCTGAGATATATCCGGGGGCGGAGTTTTGGATGGCTTTATAGGTGACTGTTAATATTCTGAATTTTAACCTCTGGGCGACGGGAAGCCAGTGCAGGGATTGACAGAGGGGGGTGGGGGATGGAAGCCAGTGTAGGGATTGGCAGAGGGGGGATGCAGACACTGAGCGGTTGGTAAGGTGAATGAGTCTGGCAGCTGCATTCATGATAGACTGAAGGGGGGATATCCTGTGTAGTGGAAGGCCAATGAGGAGGGAGTTACAATAGTCAAGACGAGAGATAACAAGGGAGTGTATGAGTAGTTTTGCGGTGTCATTGGTGAGGAAGGGGCGTATTTTTGAGATGTTACGAAGGTGAAGGAGGCAGGATTTGGATAGCGATTGGATGTGGGGAAGAAAAAGGTGAGGTCCGAGTCAAGGATGACACCTAGGACCTTGGCAATCTCAACTGAAATGTTGGGGGAAGGTGCACAGGCAGGAGGAAATATCATGAGCTCAGTTTTTGAAAGGTTGAGTTTTAAGAAATGTTGTGACATCCAGACTGATATGTCAGTTAGTAGATTAGTGACACACAAGGACACTGAGGGGGAGAGTTGTGGAGTGGAAAGATACATTTGAGTGTCATCCGCATAGAGATGGTATTGGAAGCCATGTTAGGTTATTAGTTGACCAAGGGAGGAGGTGTAGATAGAGAAGAGAAGGGGTCCAAGGACAGAGCCTTGGGGGACCCCTACAGAAAGAGGAAGAGGAGGGGAGGAGTTAGAATTGTAGGCGACACTGAAATGGTTTGATAAGTCTGTTGTGGAGGAACTTGAGTGGCCTTCACAGAGCTCTGATCTCAACCCTACTGAGCACCATTGGGATGAATTGGAACACTAGGTGCAAGCCAAATCCTCTCATCCAACATCAGTACCTTTATAGGGATGCACCGATACCATTTTTTCGGTATCGAGCACGTGTTCTGATACTTTGCATTCGGTACTCGCCAATACCGAATACTGATACCGGTGCTTCCGCTGGCATGGAGCCGGGCTTCCCGGGCAATCAGGAAGCCGAGCGGCGAGTAATGACCCGACTCCCGGTTTCCTGAATGGCCGGGAAGCTGGCCCCATGCAGATTGGCTGGAAATCCGGCTTCCAGGCCAATCAGCATTGAGCCAGCTTCCCGGCAAATCAGGAAGCTGGGAAGCGGGTCATTACTCGCCGGCCAGCTTCCTGATCGCACGGGAAGCTGGCTCCTTGTGCTGTAGGCACTGCTGGTCAGAGGAAATCTTCCCAGCCCAGGAAGCCGGCTCCATGTTCTTTGGCCCTCTTCCCGGCCAATCAGCATCGAGTCGGCTGAACAGCTGGCCAGCCAGCCAATCAAGAAGCCGGGTGGCAGGTCATTACTTGCCACCCGGCTTCCTGATTTTCTGGGAAGCCGGCTCCATGTTCCCATGTGGCACTGCTGGTCAAAGGATAGCTTCCCCTGACCGGAGGTTCCAGTATCGGGAAAGTATAGGAGCATTTGGGCAAGTACGAGTACTCTGTATCGGCACCGATAGCGATACTAGTATCCATATCAGCGCATCCCTAGTACCTTATTTTACAAGTACTGTTTGTGCTTAATGGGTAGAATTCCCACAGACTCTCGAAAATCTAGGGTAACGGCTGTTTTAGCCCCAAAAGGGGAAAGAGGGGACTCCATATTAATGTCCATGGTTTTGGAATGTGATGCCCAACAAGGTCATATTGGTGTGGCGGGCAGATATGATGCATGGCCACATATATTTTGGTACAAAGATTAGTGCATGCTAAAATCTGCCCATTTCTTCAATATCCAAATGAGTCCCCTCGGCAAATCCAACAACCAAGATATTTGATTATCAGCATATGCAATATTTCTGCTGCTCTTTGGGGAGATAAAGTTGTGTTGTGCTACTTGTGTTATCTTCAAGTATTACTAGGCTTGCAGAAGCAATTGCCCCACAATACCTTTTATTTTTTCTTGTAAGTTAACCGGAAACAGGCGTGTTTGCATTAAGTGCCAGCATGCCTACATACAAGGTGGGAAACAACAGGGAGGTGTCTTCCTAAAAACAATTAGAGCTACAGGCCTCAGGCAGGGGTGGGGAAAAATTGGTCAGTAGGCCTAAATGTGAATATTTAACCCACAGTCAACTGTCTTCCTAAAATAATAGGGCTATAGCCAGGGCTGTCCCTATAATCAGGCAGCCTCAGGCGGCATCTCATTGTCAACAACCTGTGATGCTCTGTCTGGCATCCCGTCCAGCTCACTGATTTCACTGGTTACCAGGAGTTGGGCGGGACACCAGCCAGTGCGGATAGGATAAATTTAACCCACAGTCAACTGTCTTCCTAAAATAATAGGGCTATGGAAATTCGGAGATTTGGATGTATCCGAATTACAGGTATAACGAATGCAAACGAACCCAAATTTCTGATTTCCGAATTTCCGATTCGTTTTTTTGGACAAACTTTCGTTTTTTGGACAAAATTTCGTAGCAGCAAAGTGACATTTGAGAACAAAAAACTTTATTTCCCTCTTAAATGTGTCACTTTGTGGCAACGAGCGAAACGAAAATGAAACGAATTAAAAAACTAATTTCGTCCGAATCGAATTCCAAAACTAATTGACTTTCGGACCTGAAATTCCGAAAATCAAAATAAAGCAAAATCCGAATCAAAACGAAACAAAACTAAACCCGCAGTGAAGAACGGAGTACAGCACTTCCGCCGGTGAGACGTCACACTGCCGCTGCCACATTCCCGCACGTAAGGTCGGAGGTCAGTGGTAAGTGCGAGTGGTCGCAAAACAGGTAAGTCGTTAAGCGAGGAATGTCTGTACTAACTCGCCGAACTTCATCAATAGAAAGAACGGATTTTCCTTAGTGCATGTGCAGTGTTCATGCTGTGATTTGTTTCGTACGAAAACGCCACTAATTCATCAATTTTCGTACGATTTGAAAAAAAGTTTTCCAGCCTGAACGATCGAGGAAACTAATTTTGGCCGATTCATCAATAACTGGCCAAAATTTGTAGAGTGTATGACCATCTTTAGTCAGTGCCCAATCATATCAGCACTGAGCTTCTATTGTATTTCATTCATGCCTTCATGACCTTCTGCTTATTCTTTTGACAGATAATTCAGCCAGGTGTACAGTAAACAAAAAATTGCTGGGTTCCCATCAACTGATCGATATCATTCGAAAGACCATTCGTGGACGATTTCCAAACGATTATCGATAGGTGTATGGGCACCTTAACTCTGGAAAGATTTTCTCTCATTTACTCTGTGTAAGCAGAACAGGAAGTGAAGGGAACTCTTCCTAATGGGTCTGTGAATGTTCTCATTCATCCAGGCCATGGTATATCTTTAAAAAAATTAGTTAAGGCAACTGGACTTGGTGTATTTTTCTTGAAGACGTTTCACTGGTCATCCAACCAGCTTTCTCAATTGTGAATTGAGAAAGCTGGTTGGATGACCAGTGAAACGTCTTCAAGAAAAATACAGCAAGTCCAGTTGCCTTGACTTATTTTTTACAGATCTTCCTAATGGGACACAGATAGCAAAAAAAAAAAAACTTACAGGAGGTGTAACCATTGCCTACTCAGTCCACATGTATAAAAAAAATGTTGGCTTTAGATGTACTTTAACATAAAAAATAAAGCTATGGGGCGCTGTGAAGAAAAGGTTAACAGAATAAGTTACTATTGGCATTAAATCAACCCCTAAAATTAAAACAAAAGGAAAACATGGACAAGACCCTAACTAAAAGAGAAAAACAGGAGCTAAGGGTATAACTGCTCAAGATCTAGCAATCGTTTACTTGCTTACAGATATGTGTGCTTAGAAGGACTGTAGGGGTCAATAAAGCAATTGAGTGCAAACAAGAGGGGGCATTAAAAAGGGTATTTAATTTATTTGATGGGTTAGTCAAAACTTTTACCCCTTTACCAAACAAAAGTTCAGCCTCATCTTGATCTGTACAGTTCTGGTCAGCAATTACAAAGAAAGATGTCAAACAGACTATTGCCCAATCTTGGAAATCACCGTTCTTGAGCTTTACAGCGGTGAAAAACAGAGTCACAAA